CTGTATTTTAAAAAATGAGTTTAAAAAACCTCAAATATTTCATTTCAATTAAGTTTATTGGCTACATTTGACTTATCTGTAGTTTACCAGGGATATAAACCAAGTAATCAAGTGAAATGAAATCCCAGAAATCAGTCCACCTTAAGAAAAGCTAATCTATATAATGTGGTGGTGTATTTGTAAAACTTTAACAATAACACAGAAATGACTCCTCCCTGTCACAGGCGTCTGTGATTAAGGAAATGATAATATGAATATGACATGACCTTTGAAATGCAAACTGGGAGGTTATAGTGAGCATAGCTTTGGAAACATTGCTGAAGTCTGCCAGATTGATTAACATCTGTGATCCTATTGACACTAAGCCTGGTGTCTGCCTTTTTTGACTTCTGGTTAGCTCTTGCAGACCAAAGGATGACATACAAATGCAGGTAGGAGAGTTAGAAAAATATACCTTCTGCTGCAGCACATTAGTTTGTTTTGTTTTTTCAAATCTGCAAACCTATTAATCTATAACTGACTGTGCCACTACAGATTTGACATGCAGTATACTGCTATGAACTTAGAACATACTTTTTGAAAATATCTGGTTATCTATATAGATTCCAGAGACCTAGGGGAGGGTTTTATTTAAGATGCATTAAACATTAAACTATTGTATTTTGATTGTTTTATGATTACTATGTCCACTGAACCATGTGGTTAACTTGTTTTTGTGTACTGTGTTGTCTTAATTTTATTCTCCCATTTCTAAAAATATCACTGTGAATATTATTTGCAATATAGAGGTAGTATACTCTTAAAAAACACATGCATTTATGACTATTTAGTGGGAATAAATGTAGATAAGTAGCAAAGCAGAGAATAAAGCAAACAGGTTATAAATAATAGATTTCAGTTAGTCAGTTAATTTCTGTAGCCTGTATTCATTCTTTGCAGAAAGTAACATATTGAAACATAAAAGCATGTAAAAAAGTAGAGCCTTGTGAACCTTTTCTAACAGAACCTGACAAGTGCATTGAATGTTATCAAACTTAGCCCAGTGTAGAGCCACCCTTTTCCCGTCTAGTTTACGATAGGCTTCCTCCATCCTGCAACAGGCTCTGGGATATTGCCATTTAAGGTATTTCAGGACATGCAAGCAGTCGTTGTAGCAAGACCCAAGGGAGTCTTTTGGATCCCAGTGCTGCTGAATGACAGCGTGGACAGGCAGCCGAGTCTCTTAAAAAACTTGGATTGTGAGTAGAGAGAGAGTTACTTTTCTGGCCACAGTCACACTCCCAAGTGTAGGGGAGTGGGCTAGGTTGCTGCTGTAGGGAGCAGAGAGGGCCACAAGCCATTGCTCCCCAAAGACAGAAAAGTAAGAGGGTATTTTGGAGTTATTTGTGGGATAAGAATCCTTGGGAGAGGGAGGGGTTTATGATTTTGAGTAGAAACTATGCAAAAATTGATGAGTTTGTGTGGTTTTCACTCTAAACTAAGTGAAACTTGACATTTGTGTGTACTCTGTACAGGTTATTATTATATAATTCCATATTCCAAACTTGTCCAATACATATAGCTTTGGACTGAGTTGTGGTGTTTAGATGCTGCATGTGATTATTAGAACTGGGAGCACTGGCTGTTGGGAGTCTGAAAGGACAGGAAACAGGAAGGAGGGGGGAGGAGTTGAGGAGGCTGGGACAGTTACAGAGTGTGCAGCTACAGCTTGGTAAAGAGATTTCCACTGTAAATAAAGTTCTGTTGAAGTTTGTTAATACCTTGCCTGGTGGATACAACATTTTGGGGACGAGGATCGGATCTTCTGCCTCTGAACCCACCTGCACCCTTTCTGCAAAGCCCAGGTGAGCCTCCAATTGCTTTTACTGTCTGGATTCATACGTTTGAGACTTATCTGCTTGCAATCAGTGCTACAGAGATTTCTGAAGTAAGAAAGCGTGCTCTGCTAATCCACTGCCTTGGAGCAGAAGGGCAGCGTATATTTTACACTTTTCCCCTTGCAGATGATAAATATGAGATTGCACTCACTGCATTAAAGAACTTTTTTGTGCCAAAAGTGAATGTAGTAGCTAATCGCTACAGATTTCGCCAGCGTGAGCAGAAACCAGGGGAGACTATAGTGCAGTATATTGCTTCCCTGAGGAGTCTGATTGTAACTTGTGACTTTGGGAATATGGCAGATGAGATGATTAGAGACCAGCTCATTGAGAAAACAACCGTGCTTCATGTAAGAGAACGCTTACTTCTAGAACCACAACTTACACTAGAAAAAGCAATAACCACTGCTACTCAGATTGAGTCAGCTACAGCTGAAGCCAAAATAATGAGCAAGGGTACAGGAGGCCCAGTCCAGGCTGTGACTACTTTGCAGAAAAGTTCACTATCATTGCATACAAACAATTGCAAAAGGAAAACTAATGAAAAGCCACTGAACCAGCAAATGCAAAATACAGTAAAAGCATGCTTTCGCTGTGGATCCCCACAACATCTTGCAAGCTACACAGGATGTCCAGCAAAAGTAGCTCAGTGCAATCATTGCAAAAAGATTGGGCATTTTGCTAAAGTATGTCACAGTAGCTGGTTCAATCAACAGGTGCATGCAGTTACAATACCAGATATTACTGTGCTGAGTGTAGACAAAATCACTACTGCACATATTCCAGAACAGATAAAGTGCACTGTAAATGTTTCTGCCATACCCTCAGGCAAATCACACTCTATTCAGCCAATGTTGGACACTGGCTCAGCAGTATCTATACTACCTGATTCCATCTATTTGCATTACTTTAAAGATGTGCCTCTTACTGAACCCAAACTTCACTTGGTATGCTATTTGAAAAACCATATTCCAGTACATGGCTGCCTGCCAGCAATAGTTACTTTTGGTGATTGCTGTGTAACTGCAGAGTTCTACATTGTCCACAAAGGCACTCCTATCCTTGGCAGAGATTTATTAGCTGCTTTAAATCTCAGGGTAGTTAATGAACGAATTGATCTTCCTCAGCAAAGCACTCTTGCGGTACACACACCAGTTTCAGCTGGGACCCAACTCCAGGTTGAGGAGAAACTCGGCTGTGCTTATGGGTTTCTGCATAAAGTTAAAATGTGGAATAATGTGATGCCTGTATGACAGAAATTACGGCGCTTACCATTTTCAGTCAGGGAAGCTGTTTCAGAGGAACTTAGAAAACTTGTTCAAAAGGACATTATTGAAGAGATTAACTCCTCGGAATGGGTTTCACCTATAGTAGTGACGCAGAAGAAGGGTGGAGACATTCGCCTTTGTGTGGACTTAAGGGAGCCAAATAAAGCTATTGTGATTGACAGCCATCCTCTTCCTCACCTAGAAGAAGTATTTGCAGAACTCCGTGGAGCAAAGATGTTTTCTACTCTTGATTTGCAGAGCGCATACCATCAGGTTATGTTGCATGAAGATAGCAGAGACCTCACAGCATTTATTACACATGAGGGACTATTTCGTTTTAAACATGTTCCATACGGTCTCGCATCAGCCCCAAGTGCCTTCCAAAAAATGATGTCATTGATTCTGAAGAATCAACATGGAGTTCAGTGCTATTTGGATGATATTATTGTGTTTGGAAATACTACTGAGGAACATGACAATAACCTGCAGTCTGTACTAAACTGCATCAGCAAAGCAGGCCTCAAGCTCAATAGGTCCAAATGCAAATTTAGACAAACTGAACTCTCCTTTCTGGGGCATACAATTTCACAGGCTGGACTAAAACCTGATCCAGATCATATCCTGGCAATTTCAAATGCTCCTCCTCCAACAGATTTGCAAACCTTACGTTCCTTCTTGGGTCTTACCTCCTAGTATGCAAAATTCATTCCCAATTATGCTTCTGTCATTGAACCGTTACGAGAATTACTACGGAGAAGTTCAACCTTAGTGTGGACAATGGATGCACAAGCTAGTTTCGAAAGGGTGAAAGACTTGATTGTACATAGTCCAGTACTTGCACTATTCAGTCCCGCATTGCCCTCAATTGTAACTACTGATGCTTCTGATTATGGACTTGGGGCTGTCCTCACACAACTTCATGAGGACAACACAGAGAGGACTGTTGCATTTGCTTCAAGGACACTAAGTAATGCTGAGAGAAAATATGCTACAGTTGAAAAAGAAGCACTTGCTTGTGTCTGGGTTACTGAAAAATGGAGAACTTACCTGTGGGGCCGCACGTTCAAGTTGCGCACAGACCACAGCCCTTTGACGACGTTGCTCACCACGAAAGGACTGGGAAGAGCAGGATATCGTATTGCTAGATGGTCTGCAAGACTACTCTCTTTCAATTATGAACTGGAATATAAGCCTGGAAATGAAAATGTGGTAGCTGATTGCCTTTCTCACCTGCCTTTGCCTTCACCAGATGGTCCACCGGAGGATGAGGATGTAGTAGTTGCGCTTATTACAAGCACTCTTACTGCAGTTACAAGAGAACAATTTCAAGCTGCTTGTTCAGCGTGTCCAATTCAACAAAAATTATGGGAATTTCTGACAAAGAGATGGCCCAGTAACCCTAAAAACCTTGACCCAGTTTTGCTGCCTTATTTTAGAGTTCGGGATGAACTTTCTTTGCTTGATGGCTGTGTGCTATGAGGTACACACCGGCTACTTGTGCCAGAAGGATTACAGTCAAAACTCATACACCTGGCACATGATACTCATCAAGGAATTGTCAGAACCAAACAACGACTATGGGAACTGTATTGGTGGCCAGGGATGGACTCTCAAACTGAAGCACTCATAAAATCCTGTGTCACTTGCCAAATGCATGATAAGACAGCAGTGACATGTAACCCTCCATTACAGCCTGTTCCTCTTCCTGAATCTGCATGGGAAAAAGTGGCGATTGACATTGTAGGATCCTTTGATACTGCTCCAATTGGCTGTCGTTATGCCATCACTTTAATAGACTATTTCAGCAAATGGCCTGAGGTAGCGTTTACATCGCAAATTTCTTCTGCTACAGTAATTAAGTTCCTCTCTTCAGTTTTTAGCCAGGAAGGTAACCCCAAAGAACTGATTTCAGATAATGGTAGTCAATTTACTTCCCTGGAGTTTGAAACTTTTCTAGCAGAGAGAAACATTTTACACAGGAGGTCATCCCTATATTACCCTCAAGCCAATGGGGAAATCGAACAGTTTAACAGAAGTTTGAAAGAGAGTTTGCAAACAGCTAAACTGGAAGGGTGATTGTGGATACCCTTCACTACTGATTTCTTGCAAGCATACCGGGCTACACGACATGCCACAACACAAAGATCACCCGCAGAGTTACTGCATGGGAAACAGCTGAATACTAAACTGAACATTGCTGGATTGTTAAAGGCACGACCTCATGCCCCAAACAAGGATGATGTGAGAAAGACAGTTGAACCAGAACCAAGCAAAGTCTAAGGCTTTCACAGACAAACGGCGGGGTGCTAAGGAACCAAAGTTTGAGTGTGGTTCCTTTGTTAGAATACGAAAACCTGGAATCTTACGCAAAGGGGACCATAAATTCACAGCTCCTCTTAAAATCATAGAGAAGAAGGGACCTTACACCTATCGACTTTCTGATGGGCGGGTATGGAATGCTTCTTATCTTGCACCTGCCTATGCACCAAGAGGAGATTATGCCAACACCCAGTCTGCATTGGATGACTTCACCGTAGAGCCAACACAACAAGACATTGCACTGGAACCGGGGCTTGAGAGATGGCCTGTCAGATCCAGATGACCACCTGCCTGGACGAGAGACTATGTTATGTAGTATCTACAGTGTTTTCAGTGTAATATTCCTGCCAACAGTATAGTGTCTTGTTTCATATTTGTTCCTGTGGTTAGAACAACAATGTTTATTTTAATTTGGAAAGTTCCTTAAGAGAGGAGGGAATGTGGTGTTTAGATGCTGCATGCGATTATTAGAACTGAGAGCACTGGCTGTTGGGAGTCTGAAAGGACAGGAAACAGGAAGGAAGGGGAGGAGTTGAGGAGGCTGGGACAGTTACAGAGTGTGCAGCTACAGCTTGGTAAAGAGATTTCCACTGTAAATAAAGTTCTGTTGAAGTTTGTTAATACCTTGCCTGGTGGATACAACATGAGTGAATACTTTTAGATGTTTCATTTGGTGTAATTACTTTAGCACAGCTCAGGAAATCTTTTTAAAGAACAGTAGGAGCTGAAAATTGACTAAATCCTGATACTCCCAATTCCAATAGATTTGTGAAAGTGTATTAGGTAATGTATAGTGTCTCTCATGTGGCTCAGAGGAGGCATACTTGACTAGTATAAAACATGTAGCACCCATAATATGAAACAGGGGAACTCCTCTGCCTGTATTTTTACACTGATTTTATAAATGGATATGGGTTGGTACCTTCATTTCTTCTGATACGATAAAAGCAGAGGTCCATCAGTATTGTTTAAATAAGTCTCTATCCTTCATTCTTTATCAATTGGAGATAAGAAGCTGGAAAAGAGCGGGGGAAGAAGACTCAGTGAAATGTCAGATTGCAAAGCTTTACATTTCTTATGAACATGAAACCAGTTTTAAACTCCTGTTCTATGAGCTTGCTGTTACAACCTACACTGTTGTTTAGGTTTGATCTTTGACTGATCATAGCATGAACTGTAAGTGGTAAGTGATTATCAATTTTGTGGTAAGCTTTGAGAAACATGACTTGATCTTTTGTGGTTAGCTATCTTGCAGATGTATACTCTAGGCCAAGGGTTCTCAAACTGGGGGTCGGGACCCCTCAGGGGGTTGTGAGGTCATTACATGGGGGGGACGCAAGTGGTCAACCTCCACCCAAACCCCGCTTGTCTCCAGCATTTATAATGGTGTTAAATATATTAAAAAGGGTGTTTAATTTATTAGGGGGTTCACACTCAGAGGCTTGTGATGTGAAAGGGGTCTCCAGTAAAAGAGTTTGAGACCCACTGCTCTAGGCAGTTTCATTAACTTTTCCCTTCCTTCCATTTTACTATCCTGTGCAAGACTTTGCTGATTGACTTATCATAAGTAGTGACACTTAACCTGTGTACTTGTCCTATAAAAATAATACTGTTAATATTTGTTAGCAATTAAGGTGTTACGTAATTATACCTGAATGGAACATAGATTTATGTTTATACAATGGGATGACTGGAGTATACTCAGTGTGCAAACTATAGCTGCATACCTTCCTTTTTCAAGTTTGTGTGCTTGTTGCTAGAGAATGTGTGTGGAACTTCTATCAAGTTCTGTTTTTTACATATTTCTCTCTTTTTTTGGGGGGGGGGGAGAGTTGGAAGGACATAAAACCCACTCATCTCCTGCCCTGACAAAATGACTCTCAGATACATGACATTTTATGTATGCCTGTAGCTGATTTTGCATAATTCAAGTAACACGTGAATATTGCAGCTCTCATTTTAAATTGTGTGAGAATTCAAGGCACACAAGTTTAAGTGAGGACAAAATATTCTTCTTAATATTCAAGCTGGGAGAACTACTTGTCAATAATGAAAATTTATTTGCCATGTATATGTGATGCTTTTTAAAAATAAACTTGCCGTGCCCCCTCCCTCCCCTGGCTCATCCACAGCCTGCCCCTGACTTGCCTTCTGTGTTGGGTCTGGGAGAGGGACCCATGCAGAGCTCTTTTGCTGGCTGGAGCATCCCTCCTAACACAGGTGGATTTGACAGGGGTTGATAGTGTCCCTTTATGCCACAGGTGTGATGTAAAGGGTAAAGCTGGTCAGGAATTTTCTGACTTTATTTATTCTCCCCTCCCCCCCCCCCCCCCCCCCAAAATGCAGATTTGTCTGAAATGTTTTGTGGAAATGTTTCGTTTTCAACAAACCTTTGCCAAAACAGAGGCAGGATTGTGACAAAACCTGCCTTGTTTCCTGCCAGCTCACTTGGTGGCCTGCTGGGGACTCAAGGGCTTCCAGGTTCCATGGCTCAGGAGCAGCCCTGCCATGCACACTCTCCCAGAGCTGGCAATTGGAAGCCCTGGGAACCCTAGCTCAGGCAAGGGCTCTCAGAACTTCTGGCTCTGCCCTGCTCTGCCCAGGGGATTCCAATAATTCCCAGGCACCACCTGGGCTGCCCGGTGAGTCTCCAGGAGTCAGAGCAGCCATCTGCTGCATTTCATAAAGAAAGGAAATTGGACTGATACAGTTTGATTTTTCCTAAATGATAAATTTTTGATATTTTCTGTCTGCAGGAAAAATTGTATTCCAAATCAGAACAAAGACTTCTTTGAAATTTCCTACTAAATGGAAATTCTGATTTTTGATTAGCTCTGTTTGAGAGGCCACACCAGAAAGACTCAGGTCCACTGATTTCAACTAAGACTTGCCAGGCTGCACAACTGGCAGTGGTAACCTGCTCAGCTCCCAGGCAAAGGGTAATGAGGCCAGTTTAAGAAGCCTGAAAGTTGCACTGCGGAACATTCAGTGGGAAAGGCAAATAGATATGAGTTTTCAGTGCAGACGACTTTTGTGTATGAGACAACTGATAATATTAAGTCTGGTATAAAGAACTTCCAAGAAAGACTTTCTGTGATAGAACTCTGCATGGGGAGCATTGAGGATAGGGTAGTGACACTTTGTTCTTAAAATTAGAAAAATCAAACAGGATTTGTAAAGATCCAGGAAAATTTTTGAATACAGAGAAGAATGGCCAAGACTGGCATATCTTCCTAGAGGAGAAGGAGGAGTTATGCTGTTCTCTATAAATAGCTTCCTTAAGGAAATTTTTGCAATAGGAGGATACTGGGTCTGTATTTGTATTATAATCCACGTTGTAGCCCTTTACCAACCATTCCAAAAGCAATGCTAATAAAATTCTTGAGATTCCAAGATTTAATATTTATCAGTGAAGAGTACTTTATACCTCCTAAGGTAAAAATAATATTCTTATTTGATGTCTAGAATAGTGGAAGCTGTAGTGCAAACAGGTGCGTATGTTTATAACATTGTGTTGTCTAACCTTGCTGTTCATCTTTTCCTGGAACTGTACTGGTGCTGGACCAGTAGTAGGAAAAGTGAATAATTCCTAGACTAGACATGTACTCAGAAGAAAGATGCAGTTTATTCCAGTAAAATGACTAGGACAAAGGATTTTCCTTCACTCTATGGTATCTTGCAATCCTCAGAATTATTTACGGGAATCAAATTAAATTATTCTCTACCCCCAAACAATTTATAGCGTACCTGTATCTTCTGGCAATCCATATGGATCTCCACAATTCACTTGTGAGTGCAGCAGACCACCATGTGTTGAACCTAGCAGAGAGGAGCAGATCTGAACTGGAAAAGATTGCTCATGTTTTTAACATCTTAGATCAACTTAAAGATAGTTTACAAAGAAAATATACCAATGTTTTAGAAAGGCTGTTGTAAGAGAATGTGTTTCTAGTTTATAATTGTGATTTTTAAAAATTTAAGGATATGCTACAAACTCAGGCCCCAGTTCTGTTAATACTTATGATCACGCTTAACTTTACATACATGAGTAGTGCTACTGAAGTCATGGAACCACTCGTGTGTGTAAAGTTAAGTGCTTAAGTGTTTGCAGGATCTGGAAGTTAACAGCCTACACTGGCTCACTAGTTAAAATGTTGATGTTGGGAGGAATGTTTGAGGTCTATCCCAGGTTATTGTTGGAATGTTTCTGAGTGGATGGCACCAGCTAGTTGGCAGGCTACCAAAAAAAAAAAAAAGTTTTCTTGTTAAGATGTGTTTGCGCTTTTATAGGCTATGTATGTAACCCTTCTGCCAGATGAAGTCAGCAGCAACAAGAGCCGGGTTCAATATCTAGGGGTTCCTCTCAATGCTACAAAACAGAACTGGCCCTAGCCCCCCATCCATTAATCTGGAAAAACTTACCACCACCCCTGGGCACCTCTAAGCGGCAAGACTTCCCCACTTGCAGGCACTGAGTCTGTGTATAACAAACAAGAACTTTTATTAAAAGGGAATGGGAACCCAGCATTAGTTTGGGAAAACACTATGACCATATTTGAAAATGTGATTATAAGCCAACCCCACCCCATAATGCATTCAGCAGTGTCCTTTGCCTCAGTTTCCCACCTTTTGGTGTGAAAGTCCAACAAACCAATGTCCCTGTAGCACAACACTCCCTTCTCCCTCCACTGCACCCCACTCACTGTTAGCTGTCCTGGGTCGGCAAAGACCCAGAGTTCTGAAGTGCATTCGTGTGCGTTCACTTCCTACCCCTGGAGGGAGGGGAAGCATTGACCAATGCCTCAGCTGCTGCTGCTGACACTTCTGCAACTGACGCACAGTTGCCATTATTCACTCTGCCGTTGCTGCCTGCTGCTGCCACCTGCTGCCGCCGTTCACTCTGGCACCGCTGCC